CCTTGTATAATGTGTTGACCTATGTTATGAAGCATGTTACACATGTATTTTGACATATATGAAGTGGTTTAATAGTATCCAAGCATGATCCTAGCTTCTAGTAACTTTTGTATGAATGTTTGATAACTTGAAATTGCATGTTCTTGAGGATTATACACTTTTCTAGCAAAAGGATCAATCCCTTAGGGGAAAGTATATCTCTTTTAAAAATGGATCGATCCCTTGGCTTGAAGGATCGATCCTAGACTTATTGTCCAACAAAGGATTGATCCCTGTGAAAAAGGATCGATCTCTTCGCTGTTGAGCCCAATGGAAAAGGTAGAATTACATTCAATAAAGGCATGAATTGTTCCCTAGTGTCAAAATGTTCCCTTTATGTTGTGTGAGTGCAAAATAGTCCAGAAAATAAACTGCTAATTGATCTTAGACGATAATTCAAAATTTGTTGGGACTTGTTTTATCACTCTTAGAATATATTTACTTTCATAATGGAAATATTAATTGCATGATTGTTGTTCTTACTTAAGTTTTGAATGTTTATGATTTAGTCCTCATACTTGCATGTTTAATTAGGTATTTGTTTGGCGTCTGAACAACCTGAAAATTGCGTACTGTTAATTGAGGGTAAAAAATAAGGATTGTTAAATTCAATTTGACAAATTGACCTTGAATTCCTTGTGTGTTAAAATGATGTTATACCCTTGATTGTTTGTTGCGATATTTATGTTTCGTTTCTTTTGATGAATAATTTCATGTTATTTAATATGTTTCATTGCCATGTGTCACATGCTGGTTTAATTTTAAATTGTAAGCTTCCACATATTTTGCATAATTAAGACTTTTGTTTTGTCCAACATGATTGAAATCGAATGAACACTTAGGTACTCGGGTCGGACTCCTAGAACTGGTATGGGGTGTTACATAGAAGCTTCTCAAGATTTTGAGAATATAATCATGTGTAAACAAGATTTGAGTTTGTTAAAGCATAGTTTTATGGTTAAAACTCATAGTAAACTTTACTCTAATATGATTGAGTATATGTGTAAGAGAATTTACATGTTGTCCAAGACACTTATAGACTTATTTCTATCCTAAAATGTTAGAAATTTTGTAGTGTCTTAAAATGATGATTAAAGTCTGATAGGAACCTAGTTTATCTGCTTACTAAAGGTTAAAGTAAAAAATGGTTCTTGATTCGTCGAGGGGGATGGGTCTAAAGCCCATTGGTTGAGGAATTCATGATGGATACCCAACTTAGTTATCTAAGTTCAATGTGGTCAAACTAAGCTATGAAAAGACTTATAATGTACATTTCTATTTTTTATCCTTATGACGAATAATTTACATATACAAGATAAGCTTAATTGTTATCAATAAATTCATAATCCAGGCTTTGGATCATCTTAGTGAGAAAGACTTGAAGAATTTATCGATTTTGGTTGAATATATATTCTTAATAAGTTCATAACCCAATTTTGAATGGGTAGTCATATCCCGAAGGACTAAGTGAGCATACCGCTAGACAGGATGAGTTTTCTTAAAACTATTAAGAAATTCAAACCCAAGATTTTGGGTGATCCTAGTTAGATGAAGCAATGAATTCACCGATTAAAGAGGTTGAATATTTATTCTTAACGATTTCTTATCTCAAAGTTTAGGTGATTCATTTAATATGAACTTGAAGAAGAGTTATTGTGAAAGCTCTTAATTATTTCATAGCATAATTTTGGGTGGTTTATATTGAGATAAAACTGATGAAATAAACTACGTAAGTGAGAAGGATTAGCCACCTTTTATGAAAAAGATTGGGTTGTTGTTCTAGTACACTTACTAAAATCCTGAGGAAAGAGGGTTATATATATGCATACACTTTGTAGACAGATTGAGGACTTCGATGGATTAAGGGGTTAGTTATGTGTTATGAGTTTACCCTAATCTTAAAAAGGTCAAGATTCATTCATTTATCTAAGAGAATAATTACTTATCGTCATTATGTACTAGTTCAAGATACGTTCACTAGTGCTTAAGCAATTAATCTATCTATTGCTCTTCTCGTGTTTTAACTTCAATACTCTCATTTTTTATGAAAAATATCTTTTGCATTAGTGGGGGAATGTTGGTAATACAAAGAATTTCACATTAGGTATGAACTGTTTGGCGTGGTTCGATTCAGTTCGTATGTGTTTCTTTTCAACAAGATCCTTTCGATAAAATACTTATCAGGGTCTATATTTTACCATTTATAAGTGTTACAAAATATTTAGTATAGTTTATGGTCATTAGAATAATATTTGTGACAATTAATTATTTTGTAAATGCTATTGGATCTTTTACCATTTTACCCTTACGTTGAGCTTATAAATGGATGTTTATTTTTCCATTTCATATGGCACTTCAAGAGAAATTTCTCCAATCTCGTAATCAAATGTCATTTTCTTTGAAACTCTCTTTGACTTTCATAAAACAATTCGAAGAGTTGTTTTGAGTTTTGAAAGAAGGGTAGTACCACCAAAGTCCACTCTATTTTTCGGTTATACAAAATTTGGAGAGTCGTGCTAACCTTGGGGGGCATTATTCCATTGTAGCGATTACACACATTGGAGCGAATTCACTTCTAAGTCAATGGTTAATACCACGACAAGATTATTGTTTTGATTGGTTATTTAGTTTTCATATTTTCAAGCTAATGGTGATGCCTTGTTTTGAGGAAATCAATTTTTTCAACACGAATTTCATAAAAATTTAGGGTAAAGTACACAAATGGTCCTCTGACTATAGGATATTAGCTTTGTTAAGTTCCGAACTATTAAAAGTTACAAAATGATCCCTCAACTATAAGGTATTGTATTGTTGAGTCCCTCTACTATTAAAAGTTATAAAATCGTGACTCGACTATTTATTATATTCTAAACTCATCATTTTCCGTTAAAAAAATGACAACAGTCTGAGCTGGACATTAACCTGTTGATTAGGATATGATAAAATTTGATCTCAGAATCTCAAACGACTATCATATCTTAGTCAGTATGTTAACATCTAACTCAGACGGCTGTCAATTTTTTAACAGAAAAGGATGAATTTGGAACATAATAAATAGTCAGATGATTATTTTGTAACTTTTAATAGTTAAGGGACTCAAAAAAGTAATACCCTATAGTCGAAGGATCATTTTGTAGATTCTAATAGTTAGGATTCAACAGGACAATATCTTATAATCTAGGTATCATTTGTGTACTCTACCCAAAAATTTAAATCTATATTAGAAAGACCAAACTTTTAATAAGAATTTCAAATGTTTTAATTTTTCTTGCACTAAAAAACCAAATGGGACCAAAATAGTAAATTAATTGTGTAGCCGCCTTGCATCATATCGTTTAATTAAATACTTCTCAAACCTTAAAAAATGACTGATGTCTCCTAGTCTTTGTACAAGAACTAATCACAATTACCAAAGCTTGAAAACGTATAATGTCAATTTATACGTGTTCCAATCGAAGATAAGTTGTATTATTCCAACATGTATTCATTTATAATAAATAATGAATGCATTAGTAATACATTATATTTTTAAAGAAATAATTTAAATTTGAATATGTGCATGTCATTTTTAAAAAACAATTATAAATTTTAAATACAAATTCAAAAATAAATATCCCCTCTGTCTCATAAAATATGTTAATTATTTACTTTTTTTTGATCAATTTTTTTAAACTTTGACTAATCATTATTTAAAATTTATTATTGATAAAAATATATAAAATTATATTTTAAAAACCTTGAGTTAAGTAGTTTTCAATATATATTTTATAAAATTTAATTATTTAAAATAATCATTTTCAAAGTTTAAAAAAATTGACTTTCAAAAAGTCAGTAAGAGACATTTTTTTTATAAGACGGGAGAGTATAAAAGATATCAAAATAAAAAATGAATATATGCGACCCTATATATCATTAATAATGATCAATTTAACATAAAAGTGTGAATAATATTGTAAATGAATCAAGCTTGAACAAATAAAATTGTGTTCGTGTTTTTTATTTATTTTTGAAGATATTCATGTTTAATTGATGTTCATTTAAATTTATAATATCATGTTCGTATTTGTTTGTTTGTTTTTGAAATTGTTTTTGTTCGGTTCGTTTAGTATTCATGAAGATGTTCGTTTAACATTCGCAAGCATGGCAGTGTTTACTAACATGTATGTTTAGTGTTCGTTAACATGTTGGTGAAACTACACCACTAGTCCTTAAACTCCTCTTGCTTCATAATTTGAACTCTAAAGTTCACCTTGTGTTGAATTAAACATAAATGAACCGGGGTAACAGACTTATAAACGAGTTTATTCGTGAACATAAATCAACCGAACACATCTCTATTCGTATTTATTCATTTATTAAATGAACATAAAAAATTTGTTCATACTCGTTTAGTTAGCTTAACAAAAAGAACATAAACAGACTATATAAACAATTCACGAACAGCTCACCGAACGCTTTATTCATTCATTACCCTTAAATGGGAAGGTTGATATTTTAATTAATCATTATCAATTGCATTTAGTTTGGTTGGTACTACTGTTAATATAAATCTAGTACATATTCTTAATAACAAAATCCACTAAAGGTATTGTGACAGACTTGGGTCAAGTTTATATATGATATTCATGTGCTTAAATTTTTTAAATATATTTATAATTGATTCTTTCTGAAATTTTATCTTAATATCTTCTTAGATGATGTTATTATAAAACATGTTTATCATTTTTTTCGATTATAAAATGATGTCGAATAATCTCTTTAGATATGTCTAATCACTTTATATTAAATTAAGGATGTTTTGTTAATTAAAGATGATGGCGACTGTATCATTAAAAATTGTAAATTCTTATCAAAAACAGTGGATAAATCTTCAAAGTCATCCCACATAGATCATGACTAACATTTAATAATCATGTAATTAATTCAATTACATGCAAAATCATAGTTTTACTCCTTCCCAACTTTCTATATATAGAGGGTCATAAAATTTTCCATTGTACCAAACAACAGCACAAGCAACATGGGCTCTCTCCCGCATGTCGTTGAAGACTGCTTCGGCCTTCTCCAGCTCTACAGCGACGGCACCATTTATCGGAAGCCCGACGTCCCATGCGCCACTTCGATTCTCGACGACGATTCGGTCCTTTACAAGGACCTACTTTTCGACTCGAAGCGAAACCTTTGTCTTCGTATATATAAACCGTCTTCTGGTTCCATTAAAAATCTTCCTATTATATTCTATTTGCACGGCGGCGGTTTCTGTTTCGGTTCTTTCACGTTCCCACATTTTCATAACTTTTGTGTTCGTATAACGACCGCGTTAAACGCGGTTGTTATTGCACCGGATCACCGGCTGGCCCCGGAGCACCAGTTGCCCGCAGCTTTTGATGATGCATGTTTAGCCATGAAGTGGCTAAAGGAACAAGCCATGCATGAGAATGTTGAGAACGTGGATCCATGGTTGACCGGAGTGGACTTCGACCGGGTCTTTGTTTTGGGTGACTCATCGGGCGGCAACTTGGCTCATCATTTGGCGGTTAGGTTCGAGGCTGGTTCGATGGAATTGGCGCCGGTTAGGGTTCGAGGGTATGTGCTGGTGGCTCCATTTTTTGGTGGGAGTGTGAGAACAAAGAGCGAACAAGAGCATCCTTGTGAGGCATTTTGGAACTTGGAGATGTACGACAGGTTAGGATCTTAGCACTTTCCTCGAATTGTTTTATTTATTCGAATCAATAGATTTTATATTTTTCTTGGTATTTTCTATCAATAATATGTTAAACACCTCATAAAATTTTATAAATTATCTTTTCTGTAAAATTTTATAAGTTCTCTAACTGAAAATCTTGCGTCCCTCTTTACCCCTACTTCCTCTTGTTGAGAGAAAAAAGATGGCTAATTTAAAACCTAAATTATAGTTTGATGACAGCTGACCTTTATAATTTAAGTAGGACCAAATTAAATAGGAACTAAATCTATCCCAAGATTTTCCAAGAATCTTTATTCCATATTCTATATAAAAGTAGAAATGAAGTTGAAGCAAACAATTTCATTTATTCATTGCTTTATCATGTGTTTTATTAATTAATTCATGGTTGCTCCATTTATTAGGGGGAAATTCTTCTTAACTATAGCCTGCATACCCAAAGTCTTCATCTTCACTATTCTGGAATTGACCCAAAACATAAAACTAATCCATGATTTGAATGGAATATAGAAATCATGCCTTTTTTTTAAAAAAAATTGAGTACAAAATCAGAGAATCTTTCATTGTGCAGCATGATTTTTATTTAGTGTAGAAGTAGCACATGAATATCTGAACATCTTTTCAAAAGGGGACGAATCAATAATTTCCCCATGGTTGATAGTACTGAAGAAATGAAAACTGAAACCTTTGTGTCAGAAGTGCGAGCCTTTAAAAAGCTTGTGCTAAGCTAGATCATAAAAAAATACAAATGAAAACTCCAAAGTTTGTGCTTGAAAAACTTTAGGGTGTACGATCAATCTACCCTTGTTTGAAAATATTTTCAGAAGAAAATGAATCAGTAATTTCCCATGGTTGATAGTGCTGAACAAATGAAAACTCAAAAGTGGGTGCTTGAAATTGCCCAATCCCAAGATCCATATAGACAGGGCTAGACTAAGGTGGTGGGTGTCGGGAGCAGTCTTACTCTTAGAAATTTCAAATTCTCATATAATTTAGATATTTTCTCTGAACTTTATTTTGATGATATAATTCCGCATCCCTGAAATTTTATGATTCCTAAAATATTTCATGAAGCATACTTCCTAGCACAAAATACTTGAATTGGCTTATGTTGGTGTTATCTATTCTAGTAGTGCAATAGTGAGACTAATGACTTATAATCCTTGTCAAATTCATGCAATAGTGAAAACAATTATGACTTCATGAGAATCTTTTGAATAGAGCAACAAAAGAAGTACATGAAAATGCTCACATTTGACAAAAACAAATGAGGATATTAATGAATGGTGACAGTTTGTAGAATGACACTAATGAATTATTGTGAGTCTAGGCCAACTAATTTGAAAAGTCACATTCAAAGGACTGAAAATGAAAGATTTTTGTTAGCATGCTTATAATGTGCTAAGATATTTTGTTAGTGCATGTTTGCATATCACTGCATAATCACATCTTAATTCTTCACATTATATTTGATGGGACAAATCATAATTTTACAATGACATAGGATCATATTCTTAAATTTAGGTCATATTAATGTACAATGACTATATCTAAAATATAAGCATGATAAAGAGGTCAGAAATAAATATTTTACCATGAAATTACATGACAACTAATCAACATATTTGTTAGATATAATGACAAAATTAGTTCTCAACGTTTACTCAAATGATCACTTTGATAATTATTCTTTTATTATTTGGAGCATTTGAACCTCCAATGATTCAAAATTTTTTTTTATCAAAATTGCTCATGTTGTAAGGAAATCTTTAGTTGACTAACAGTCAACTAATATTTATGGCATGACTTTTTCACCTGTGCTTAACTAGTGACATTTCACATGTCACATCATCACTTTGGGTGACATGGTATGTGACATGTTATCAAACCTGTGCTTAACTAGTGACATTTCACATGTCACATCATCACTTTGGGTGACATGGTATGTGACATGTTATCAAGTAAGCATATGAGAAAATACCACATCAGCAACATGCGTTTACTGTTCGTCAACTAACGCTTTCCATCTAATAGGAGCTATTCTTTACCAAAAGTTGAAATGTTAGAGGCTAAATTACTCACAAGAAAAGAACAAAGATCAAAGTGACTTAGTAACTATTTTTGTTATTATCATTGGAGAAACTTTACCTCAAAGGTGATTTTTTTAATAGGTTTTGGAGACTATCAATCCCTGTGGGAAGTACATTTGATGACCCCTTGGTGAACCCTATAGGACCTTATAGCCAAAGCCTTGAAAATGTGCCATTGGATCCGATCATGGTGGTGGTGGGTGGGGGTGAAATATTGAGAGACAGGCTTGAAGACTATGCTACAAGGCTTAAAGAATTAGGCAAAAAGATTGAATTTTTGGAGTTTGAAGGCCAACAACATAGTTTTTTCACTGACCATCCCTTTTCTGAAGTGGCAGATGAAGTTATACAACATATAAGAGACTTCATCATATACAACTCCAATTGAAAGCTTTTATATATATAAGTATCTATATAAGTTATTTTTATCTTATTATATGATTGTACTTGTGAGTTTTTCTTTATTTTATCTATGATTGTTAAAGTTTGAGTCTATATCACATATTAAATGTTGTTTATCATGTGTATGAAATAATCTTATATCTATAAAGTTTTCCTCTTATAATTATTTTTGTGATAACATAATCATGAATGGTTAATTTTAAGAAATTTATTATTGTGAAGTAATTTTTGATCGATCCATTACATTTCAAAAATGCTTAGATATTTATTAGAATCGATGTTGTTGAGATACTAAAGTCAATAATTTAAAGAATTGACGTCAAGATAGAAATTTTGGTATAATTCAATTAGTTGAATTATTTTTAATAATTAAGTTTATTTCATAAAGAATATTGTTTCTCGATGATCAAATACAGGCTCTATAAATATCTAAAGTTTAGAAAATGAGAGCTTTCTAATCCTTTATAATGAATTTTTTTCTCTCGAAATTTCGGATAGTTTGAAATTAGTGAATTTTGAAGCTCATCGAATATGGAGTCGTCATCGGTTGTTTTATACTAAGTACTATCAAATATTTTTAAATTTGATTTACGTTTAATATTAAAATCACAAAACCTAATAATTAATCCACACGAATTGAGGACTTACTTGAGTAATATGTAAAATTAAAAAGGTTAAACCTAGAATTTAACCAAATAAACAAACGCACTAAGTAAAACAATGTAGATCCTAACACTCAATGTAAAAATAATAATAAACTAACTTATCTATGTGGTTAAAGAAATTGATTTTGTTCCTAGAAATTACCAGTGTTTACCAAAATGGTCATATTGACCCTTATTCTTTTTTTAGAGTATTTTGATCTCGATTTGTCATTTTAAGACAAAAAAACTCTAATGTTGAACTAAATAGTCACTTTGACCCTAATTCTTTTATTATAGAGTATTTTGACCCGATAACGTTTCATTTTAGGGTACAAAGCCCCAAATTTATTGCATTAATCATTTGTTAACTAATGGTTTCCATTCATGAAAGTATTCATTAAAAAAATTGATTGAATCGTGAAAAATTCACTGTCTTAAAAAAAATTCATTCTAACTGATATAATCGTCGGAATGGACATTACCCCTGAATTTGGCATGATCCTTCATAAATTTATACACTCAAAATTTATACACCATCATTCTAAATGGGCTTTGTATCCTTATTATTTCTAACATACACAAGATGAGAGGGACAAAACAGGAGGAAATATTTCATTTTGGGTCCTTTGAGTGTGACTTTTCAAATTAGTTGACCTCTCTCACACTAATTCATTAGTTTCATTCTGCAAATTGTGAATATACCATTCATCATTATCCCTTTTTCCCCCAAATGTGTTGGCCGTTTTCATATTCTTTTATTGTTGCTTTATTCAAAAGATTCTCACAAAGTCATAATTGTTTCCACCAATATTCGATGAATTTATATAGGCATGAAATGACTATTGAAAACTAATAATGTTCCAATTATTACTTCTGCTCTCTTTTGCTTAATATAAAAATGAGTGCCATTGAAAAATGTTTTAGTGTCTAAAGAATTTTTTGTTTAGGTGACTAATGTTTCAAACGTTATATTTTTAGGTGTATGGACGTTAATCGCCATTAAATATCTCCGTTAAGTGATGTGTGTCACGCTCTGATAATTTTGAGAATTTATTTAAAATTAAAAATAATTTATTTTTTTTGTAAAAAACGTAACTTCAGCGCCCTCAGTGCTTCCTCTCTTCCCCCTTCCCATAGTCGTCGACCTGCTAGTGGTGACCACCACCGTCATCAACACCAATGTCGACCCTTGAATAAATCCCTGTCACCGTTTGTTGTGGAGAAGCTTTCAAAGGTTCATCGGATACCGTCACCGTTTTTCATCGATTCTGACCGATTCCGACATCCACAAGCCACATTACCGTCACCATTCGTGTAACCCCCTAGACTCGGCCTAGTCTCTACGACCAAATTTAGTAGTCACATATCATGTAAATATTTTCCTTTCTATATTTAAAATTAATTTCGTTAAATAGAATCCATAATATAGTATGGTGAGGAATAACCATAAAAAATATTCATACGGTAAACATATAAAGTTACCAACATCTGAAAAACAAAATATCGGTAATACAGTATACTAAGACAATAGTAAAACACGTGTCACCAAAATATATCAAAAGAGGCATGTAGAAATATACAAAAATCAAAAGGGAGAATAGTTGATCCTCTTGATGCCAAGTCTGCTAACCTACTGTCGGATAGTATTTGAAAAGTAAAAGTTTAAAGAGTGAGCTAAAAAGCTCAATTTGCTCCTTACAATGTAAAAACATTCAAATGATATTTTAGTAAAATTTTAGTTATGAAACATGCTTTTTAAATAATGATTCACTACCCCATCCGAACATAGTGTGTAGGTTCACCTGAACCATACACCCACCTGTACGCCTAGAAGGATCTTATACTGATAGTATAAGTACCTGCGGTAAGGTCTTAGCATGTGCACAAAGCAGAGGTGTCAGCAGTAAGGTCTTAGTAGTCATAGACTATGCCTAAAACACTTCCTCCAACAATACCCCCAATTATAGTGAAACAATGGTTTAGTTTACAAAACATTAAATCATACCAAAATCCAGAATTAGGTACAGAAATACTATAACCAGAGATCATGTTAGAAATATACATAAACCATATATCAAAAGTCAAAGTATATAGTAAACAGATGTGCAGTATGAATATTAAGTATTATCAGAATTTTAAAACAGTTCAGACAAATAGTTTAAAACGATACTTTAAAACCAATATGAACACACCTGAATTGGTATGAGAAGTCTGGAATGGTAGCTTACTAACATGTTTTTTATCACGATCGGCTACAGTGCTAGATCCTACGAATTGAAAATAGGTCACAAGTCTAGTATAATAAAAAATAAACCCTAAGTAGGTAATTTACGAAAACCTACGGATAACCCTTGAAGAATATGCGTTAGGTTGATCAATCGGACGAGAAACACCTTATCTAGTCAACCCTCTGTTAGGGGAAACACGAGTACCTTCACGAAAATATAATCCCAAATAAAATACATAATCAATTCTAAATAAAATACTAAAAAATACTAAACATTTTTGGATTAACGAGCTCGATTTAAGGATTTTGGATCTGAATTTGATGAAATGGATTTCAAAATCAGACTCAGGATGTCAAAAAAGGTCAAGAGGGAGGTTTTCAAACAAAGTCAACGTCGGTTAAAGTTAACGACGACATTCAAACACGGTGCGATCAAATCGTGGCTGCTAGGCGCGACACAACTTGGCTTGGCTTGGGCCAGTTTAAGAAATGGGTTTGGGCTAGTTTAGATGCAGGTTAGGATTGGATGGGTCTTCGGGTTGGGTTAACCCTCTTCCAGAAGGTTTCTATAGAAGAAGTAAGCCACACGCGTGACGGAGGCACGTAGGGGCGCGTGCGACAATTTTCGGTGAAAGAAAAAATCTAAAATTGATTAAAAATTATTTTGAAGAATTTAGGACCACTTACCAAGATCAATTTACAATGGTAAAAGGCGGAGAGCCTGATTACGCTTCGACAAAAACTTACTTTCTCTCACCCCCTCACACGCCAGAGGCAGAGGCCACAAAATCGGTACCAATAGAGTCAGAAAATGAGAGGAACCCAATGAAAAGGGTGGTGTCAAAAATGGAGTGATAGTTGGTGGTGAAATGAAGTTTAAACGTGGCTTGGAGAATAAAGATAAAAGAGGAAAGAGAGAGAAAAGAAAAAGGGGGCGGAGTTTCCAAAAAAGGGTTTGGTCTAAATTTGTGAGACCTAATATAAGAATTGGAAAAACCATGTCATAGGCTCTTGAGCTTTCAAGATTTATTTATTTGGATCCAAAACTATAAGAAATTTCATTTTGGTCCCCTACATAACCAAAATTCAAATTAAATCCAAAAATTAACTTAAGAAAAATTCTAGCCTCCACTTTGGGGTGTGACAACTCTTCCCCCTTAAAAATAAATTTCATACTCGAAATTTACCTGATTTGAACAGATGCGAAAAATGATCTTTCATCGAATCTAGTGTCTCCCAATAGGCTCTACGAGACAACAGTTTCTCCACTAAACTTTGACCATCAGAATCTTTCTATTCCAAAGAACTATCTCATCCATGTCTAAAATCTGAATAGGTTCTTTCATAAGATAGGTCTGGTCTCAAATCTACATCCTCAATCTAAATGACATGACCTAGATCTGGATAATATCATCTCAACATAGAAACATAGAAGATATCATGAATCCAACTAATCTGGGGAGGTAACTCGAGCTGATTGGCAATGAGTCTGACTTTCTTCAGAATAAATCTCTAACTCAACTTACCATTACGTCCAAATCTCAGCACTTTCTTCTAGGAATATACTTTTAGAAAAACTTGATCCCTAACCTCAAACTTCATATCTTCATTCTCTAATCAGTGTAAGATTTTTGTCTATAAAATGCCTCTCTCAGGCGATCACGGATCAATCTGACAGTATCCTCAGTCTCTTGGACAAACTCTGGACCCAAAATTTTTCTGTCATGCAACTCAGTCCAACAAGTAGGAGTAAGACATTTTTGTCCATACAAAGCCTTATACGGTGCCATACGGATGCTAGCATGGTAAGTGTTATTATAAGCAAACTTGGCTAACAGTAGAAAATCTTCCCAACTACCATAAAAGTCGATCACACAGACTCGTAACATGTACTTCTGAACCTGAATCACTCTATCAGATTGACCGTAAGTTTACGGATGAAAAGCCATACTGAAGTTCAGACGAGTACTTATAACCTTGTACAGAGCCTCCCAGAATCTAAAAATAAACCTCGGATCTCGATCAGAAATAATGGACAAAGGAACACCATGAATTCTGACAATCTCATAGATATACAATCTAGCCATCTTCTTCAAAGACTAATTAATTCTAACCGAAATGAAATGA